CTTATTAGAAAGGTCCTTCGGGGTCCTACAAAGCGGGGAATGTCTCTAAAACCGAAAGAATATCTAATCGTCAAGAACGTCTCTGTTCTTCTATTTGTTTATATTAAAATGTAGTTCATAAAATAATGTAAATTATATACAATTAATGAAACTCGCCGACGTGAGAATCTGAAATCTCAGACAGGCAGGCCCATCTTTGAAATAATTCTGTACGCCTTACGTGTTTCCACATCCAATTCCCAGGACTGAGATACCATGAGAAAATGACGGAAAACACACTCAAGACCGAACACTACTTCTTCATAACTTGTATAAGCACGAAAATCAGTTCAATGCAAATTCTATGGATCTCAAATATATTTTATTTTAACAATATTTTAAGTGTGGTCGATGTCAATGTACCTGAAAATTGACAATGCTAACCGAAACATTCAACCATGTAATACAATTAAACAACACACTAAGCTGAATTAGTTGTAAAAAAAGAGTAGTTATATGTAGATATTGTAGGTTGACATAGTGAAGAGCCTGAAATCTGAATCAGCCAAGCCGACAGTGTAACTGACTACGCGCTCTGCAATACATATACGAGATTAACAGAATTATCGAAATTCCTCATTTAGAGAAAAATGTGATATCGTATGAAGAGTTTATTGAAAATTTAATAACGATTGAATTAGATGGTTTGCCTTAAATATGTCAAAATGACATTCATATAATTATTATTTAATTAATGATCCATTCTAGCTGACAGTTTCATAAAATTATTTCAAAGCACGCCATGCGATGATAAAATCTACATCATACCCAATAATCATTCCTTGTGTCGTTGCATGACACAGAACAGGGATATACAATATTTTCAAATTAAGGGAAATTCCAGTTTGGTATTACGAATTTACGCACTTTCAGAAACCAGAAAATAGTAGAATAAAGAATAATTTAATTTGGAGGTATTCGATTCCCTGAGGTACTTAATGCTCTTGCTTGTATTCGAAACTTCTTTAAGTAGTTACTCTGTTCATGCAGGAAATTACTTTACGTATGGATTCGTAAAAAAGTTATCGATTTATCACGGCCGCAAATCTTTCAAAATTAATTATTTCACAACAATAAATCAATAAAATAAATAAATAGCATTATTTTAATCTAAAAGACCGTATGAAGCTGAAAGTAAATTCAGTCTGCAACCAACAAATGATCCAGCGATACATCAGGTTCTCACGGCGTCGAGCGCCTTCAACACATAATCAGATAAGCTAGGCTCACAAGAGAAACAATTAATCCGTAAGTCAAAATTTACTGATTGAATTCCTCCTCTGATGGGTATAATGTTTACCTAAGTCCTGGTAATCTTAATTTTCGAGTAAAGTCGATAATAATTTTTAATATAGGTCTGTTTTACCCACTATTCTAGTCATTAAATACTACTGCGAAATATTTGCAGGGTTACTTACGTTTCTCTTGTTTTGACGTAAACGTACAAGGACAAATTCCTAGTCCCTGATTGTAGATTGTGTTATCGATTTGTAGAAACAGGGAGAACAGAACCATGAAACTACAGCCAGAGCCATGCGTTTAATTTAGCTTTTCTACAAGTAAACTCATTAGGAGCTACAAAGTTCCACAGAGTAGCACAAAGGGAAAATCTTTTGTTCCAGGCGCTTTTCCATCCTTCGGAAGACCCGTTAAAGTCTCTTTCCGTCCGTGGGTTTGTCCGATTTTCTGTATGCCCGTACACAAGACACAAATCGAAAACTACTGAACGGATTTTCGTGAATATTTTACATTGGGAAGTTTGGTAAAAATAGAATATCGATAACAAACATTTTACATACAGATCAATTTAGTTTATACGCACCGAACTAGGTGAAGAATCACTCAGCCAGTTTCATTGTCATTGTTACTATGGTTACCTTCGATAAGAAAGACTAATTATGAACGTATAAGTAATTGTTTTTCACTAACAAGTTTCAAGTTGGAAAAGTTTATCTGTGTTATTACGTCATTTAACTTGATGCTGGAAGTTTGGAGGCGACATTCGATCACGTGACCCTGGTAATTAGGTATGGGCAAGGCTCTGCAGGAGATGTCTGGCTTGCTGGACGGCAGTGTGGTTGTGGTTTACAGACTCCATCCGAACTTGTACTCCAGCGTCTAAAAGAGTCGACCTAACTTACTTGTCTTTGTTCTAGTGCTGACAGTGATGCATTAAGAGCCTTCTAGAAAGACACAGTGAACCTGGAGTGTGTATTTTCTGGGAGACAAAGCTCCGAGTTAGCCCTGCTACAGGCGATTTCCATGAGAAGAGGTGACATGGGAAGTGTTTATGTTTTACGGTCTTCAATCTTTTCTTAATTCTGTTGGAAAACACACAAGAGAAGGCTCCGAGTGTTCTGCTTGCCGCCATTGAAGTGTCTTACGTCCGAAATCCGACAGTATGTTCTCAGTTATCTTCCTGCATAATATACAAATGTTAGTAGTCATTTTGTGTTACGAAATTTTCGGCCTATGGGATAATATTTATGAGCTTGTGTTGTCATAGCAATTATGTTAAGGAAATCATACAGACTGAGAATCTTCGATAACAGGGTGCTTAGGAGAATATTTGGCCCGAAGAGGAATAAGGTGACTGAAGACTGGAGAAAACTGCATAATGAGCTGCTCCATGATTGATTGTCTTCACCAAAAAAATATTAGGATAATCAAATAAAGAATAATGAGATGCCTAGGGCACTTGCAAATATTAGTTGGAAAGCTTAATGAAAGAAGAACTCGGACGACGAAGGCGTAGAAGGGAGGCTAATAATGAGGTAAATGTCGGGACAATAGGATTGGAGAGTATGGATTGGATTCATCTGGCTCAGAAAGTTTTGGTGAGGGGTTATTGTAAAAGTTTACAGACGTATTTCTACCAATTTACCCCCCCCCCCCCAAAAAAAAAGAATAAATTTTAAAATATACAGAGAGCTTACATCTAGAATGAGGGGGATTATTTTAAGAAGAATTCGTGTCTTAATACTTTAAACTTGTGTGCGATTATGAACTAACGTGATGGTATTCCGCTGCATATTACAACAGCACAAACATTGAGACACAGTCGCTTAGTTGCAGAAATGGACGGTCATATACCAATTCTCACGCAAGGCATGTCGGCAGCATATTGTTAAACTTGTGAACTGACCGGAGTTAACATATTTGCGCTCTGTCTCCTTCCTGTCCAACCATTACGTGAATCCGCACGATAATTATTGTTAAACCACTTCTTACCCCCATTCGTTCCACGGGTTGAAAGCTTAGCATCAGATCAGATCTGGAGATCTGTACCAAGCACCACTGTGGCAGCCACGGATCCTGGAGACCTACACCTTAATCACACCAGGCGCTGTGTGTGACAGCCTAACACTAGGGGCAATTGCTTCAAAGATGGACTCATCCCGAGCATCTTCAAAATAACTTGCAAATGAAACAAAGAACAAGGGAAGAGTTAAAGGATTAGGAAATACGGAATTAAGTAAAGAGAGAAAAACAAAGGAATGAAATAAAAAGCAGGGAAAGAAATAAAGAAACAAGGTAAGGATCGATAAAGGATGGAAGAAATATAATGGCAAACAAAGTCAGATAGAAAGCAGGAAACAAATAAAAGCACTGGTCAGAAATTAGGTTCTGGTCGTCTTTGTGTTTCGAATGGACTGCAAATGGCCTCTGTCGGATCCAGTAAAACACTTGGAGAATTGTGTTCCTGTCCAGCGTGAACCAGGGTGGTTTGAAATAAAAAAGATAAATATCAGGTGAAATGCCGTACCAAAAGATTTAAATGTAATGCAAAGATCAGCCTCTCATAGTATTTCTGTGGCAAGGTTAATAGAATTAAACATCGTTTACCATTAATAATTACTACAACAAACGTGGAGACAATCACGCATTACACAGCCCACTGAACAACGTGTAGTATCTCTCGTCAACAACACAGAACCCAGAGCGTATCCTACAGGATGTACAAGAGATCAGTTCGTCCTCTGGTCGAAATCCTCGTCTTCCATTCATGTTAGTGTTCAATGATTGATCCAAATCTGTGCAGCTGTCATTTGGTCTAAGGAATTAATCGTTTGCTATGTCCTTGCCTGTTTGGTAGAT